CGCAGCCTTCAGCTGCCTCCCGGTGCTCTCTCAACCCGTTTGGCAGCCGTGCTGCCTCCCTCCCTGGTGCACGCACTTCCTGCCTTTGGACCCAAGTGTGTCGACCAGCAATGCCATCTGCATTGCAGCGCGGGGGAGTGCTGCGTGCAGACCCTAGTTGGCCCCTGGCCCCGCTGTAGTTGTTCTCACTTCTGGCCCGGGCGGATCCGTCCCCGGCCGCGCGGCTTCGTGACCGACGGAAGTGCTCCGCCACGTCTCAGTCCTGAGTCGCGCTGATATTCCCTGGGTTTCCCTGTCAAGAACAGCAGCCTTCAGCTGCTCCTCAGACGCCAGACTCGTTTGGCGGCACCCCGCCGCCCTCCCGGGTACGTGCGCTTCCTGCCTTTGGAGCCAAGTGTGTGTGCCAGCAATGCCGTCTGCATTGCAACGCCACGTGCTGCGCGTGGTCATAGTGGCCCCAGGCCCCGCTGTAGCTGTTTTCACTTTGCCAGGCTCGCCCCGGCCCGCGGCTCTGCGTCCGTCGCAATGATGGCTTCGCCTCGTCACACCCGGAACCGCGCTTTTACTCCCTGGGTTTCCCCAAGATACTTCGGCCTTCAGCCGCGCTTCTCCACCTTCCCTGGGAGCGACCCTGGGCTTGGACTCATCGTCAGTGGGTCTTAACGTTGTTCAGACGGTCTTGTGACGTGGGTCGCCCCGCTGCGCCGGCGGAATGCCCGCCCGGTCCGCTGAGGCCGCGCTCTGACTGAGTCGCAGGCGTGCTTCGCACATGACTTCACAGTCTTGCAGCGGTTGGCCCAGGCGTGCTACCCCAGTGGCTAGTGGTGCACCGCTCGCCGCGAGGGTCTGTGCGCACTGACGTCACCCCATCGTCGCTCCCACGCTCAACCTGGTTGAGCGGCCACTCCCTGGGCCTCTTCGTGACTACGGATTGCTTGTGCTGCAGTGGGTATGCGGCAGCACAGCTTTCTCTGAGCGCTTTTCCTCTTACTGGCCTCTCAGCGTGGATGGAGAGCCGCTCTTTGTTATGTCACTTAGTTGCTTCCTGTTACACGCCCCGTCACCTTCGATTGGCCGACGTGTCTCTCGCCAGGTCGGGAGCAGGTGTACCCCTGCACTGCGTCACATCATGTCGTTGATCTCTCGCGTGCAGACGCATCCCTCCGCAGTTGTTCTCAGGTTGATACCGGTTGTCAATGACTTCAGGCGTTCCCGTCAGCCGCTGGATGCTTCCTCTGAAGCTGCGACGGTTCGCTGGCGCCGTCAGAGTCCCTTCTCCCTGCTGGACGACGTCAGTCCCTTTGCCTACGGTCTCGCTCATACCCGACAGACACCCTGGGCTTTCTGACGCCCCTCATGCACGGAGACTGATCCCCACCTACCTTGTGATTGTCGGACCGACACGATCCATGACTGGGGATGTGCGTCGCGCCTTTTTGGCAGCGTCCTCCCTGCTTCCTGGGTGGCTGTTTCCCTTCAGACTCCCTGGGCTGCAGTTTGCACCGCCGCCTGATCCGCGGCCCCCGCGCGCGCCCGGCTAATTCGTCACGGCCGCAGCCCGACCGTGACCGGCCGCCGCTGGCGCTTCCGCCTGCGGCTGTTAAAAAAATAAGTCAAGAGTAGTCAAAATAGTCTGGGGACGGTATTCTTGCCACTTTTGATTATTTCGGGGTATTTTTGGAGTACTTCTTATTTTTCGTCCAACCTCCCCCCGGGGTGGGATGTTCCAGAATAGTCAAAATAGTCTGGGGACGGTTTTCCTGCCATTTTTGATTGTTTTGTGTGGCAGTTGTTGCGCATTGTTTTTCTTTCGTCCAATATCCCTCTGTGGGGGGAGATGCCCGACCCAGCGCTGCCCACGAGAGTTGACGGGGAAAGGGACGAGTAGACACATGCAGTGTGAAACACAGCGGGCAACCAGGGTGAACAGAGAAATCTGTGGCAGCAAAGGGGGAGGCCTCGGAGGGCCCCTTCTGGCCATCCCTGGGGCCCGCGTGGGGGCGAGGAAGGATGAGGATGAGAAGGATGAGGAGGAGGAGGAGGAGGAAGACGACGAAAACGACCACCACGACGACGAGGACGAGGAGGAAAAGGAAAAGGAAGACATGATGCCAAGGACGAGGACGAGGACGAGCATGAGGAGGAGGAGGAGGATGAGGATGAGGATGAGGATGAGGATGAGGAGGAGGAGGAGGAGGAGGAGGAGGAGGAGGAGGATGAGGATGAGGATGAGGATGAGGATGAGGAGGAGGAGGAGGAGGAGGAGGACAACGAGGACGATGACAGAGCCCTCACAATCGTCTCTTGGAGCCCTCTTTGGACTCTTTTGGGAGATCTTGGGGTACTCTTGAAGTTCTGTTGGGGGGTCTTCGGGCCCCGGGCCCTCGTGGAACCGTTTTGACGGTCTCTTGGGGGCCCTGGAGGGTCTGGGGCCATCTGGGAGGCTGTCGACAAAGGGTCGTCTGGGTGGCCTTTTGGTTACCTTTTGGTCTTCTCTAGGGTCATTTTGGGGCCATCTTGAGGCCTCAAGAGCGCATCGGAAGCGGAACGGCGAGAAGGCACAAATCATTGATCTTCTCAGGTTTTTTAAAGCTTTGGCCTCTTGGGAGGTCCTGAGGGGACTCCGAGGGCACTCGGAACCGTCTTGTGGCCTTTGTCGGGCCTCTTGGAGGTATGTCGGAAGCTATCTTGAACTATGACTGGCTATCTTGACCCATTTTGGACGCCATCTTGGAGCATCGGAGGCCCTCTTGGAGCCATCTTGGGCCCTCCTGGGCGCTCTGACCGACCGCGCCCCCCCGAACAAAAATCCAGGGATGGGGGAGGGAGATGAGCCTCCCGGGCAGGAAGAGGTGCTTGCAAAGGGAGAGGAAGAGCTCGTCTGACGACCTCAGTCCGACGGGGTGATGGGATTCCTCCTCCTCCTCCTGAGCGCAAGGACTGTTTTCGGGAACGGAGCGAATTCTCCTCGTCAGTCGCCCAGTGCGTCGTGCCATGGGGCCGTCGTGCCATCCTCCTCGCGCCCCTGGCCATGGGGCTCCCTCGACGCCGGCCAGCAGACCCAGCCCCATGGCAGAAAGGACCGTGAACGAAGCCACTTTGGCAATGCCACTAGACCGCCAGGCATTGCTGGCATGGCGCCCCCATAGACCTCCGACGAGTTGGTTTCTCCTGCATGGGGTTCTCCTCCTCCTCCTCCTCCTGTTGCTTGACACTTTTGACGGGCGGGTGCCTGGCCGTCTACAATCTCATGGAGCTCCAGAGCAGCACGACCGCTATGGTGGTTAGGTTTGCGACGGCAGCTGCAGCTGAACTGGCGGCCATATTGGTTCCCTCGATCGACTAGTGCATCTAGTGCATACTGGCAGCTGAAGTGGCTGCTGGTCGAATCCATCCTGTAAGATGAGCGGTCTTTGCAATAAGGCTGGCGACTGCCGTCAAGTGTCAGGTTCGCCCGTTGACGCCAAGCCATCATACTACCATGCAAGCCATATGCGGTCGATACTTGTGTCCTGGCAGTCGCTCACTGGCTTGTGCCTTGTAGCCAGTTGCCTACGGCAAGTCCCGCCACCGTGCCAGCGTAGCGCTCTGTGTGGCGACGCTTGGAGCACCGCCCGGAAGGCCGTAACATGTGACACCCCTCGCCTCTGTTTCTTGAGTGGGCTCTCACGGGAGCTGCCAGGGCCGTCTTGGGGCTGTCTTGGGCTCTGGCGGGCCCTCTTGGGGTCCTCTTGAGTCGCCCTCTTGGGCCATCCTGGGCCCATTCGGGCCGTCCTGGTCCCCTCTTGGGCCTCCTTGGAGCTGTCCTGGGCCGTCTGGGGGGCTTCTTGAGGTCATCATTCTGTTCTTGGGCCTCTCTCACTGCCTCCTCCGAGACACTCTTGGAGCCATCTTGAGCAGAGAGGGCCAGTACTCGCAACGTACACAATCGCGCCTAACATGTTCAGCTGGTTCTGAGACATGCTGGCCCTCCTGAAAGGTCTCTATCCTTCTCTGTGAGGTGTCGTAAGCGTCTTGGGCCCCGTTGCCTTCCTGAGCCGTCTTCGAAGCGTTGGCCAGAATTGGAGGGGCTCAGGGAAGCGTATGATGATGATGATGATGCTGATGATGATGATGATGATGATGATGAGGAGGATGATGAGGATGATGAGGATGATGAGGATGATGATGATGATGATGATGATGATGCTGATGATGATGATGATGATGATGATGAGGATGAGGATGATGATGATGATGATGATGATGCTGATGCTGATGATGATGATGATGATGATGATGATGATGATGATGATGATGATGATGATGATGATGATGATGATGATGATGATGATGATGATGATGATGATGATGATGAGATGATGATGATGATGATGATGATGATGATGATGATGATGATGATGATGATGATGATGATGATGAGGAATGATGATGATGATAGATGATGATGATGATGATTGATGATGCTG